CCTAACCTCTCTGAATCTCAGTTTCCCCATTTGTAAAAACGGGGCTAATAACATCCAGCTCATAGGGTTTTCCTGAAAACTAAGTGACATTATCCATGCAAGGCTCTGGTTTGTTGAACAAATGAATGAGCAAGTGAGTGAATGACTATCAAATCCACTGAGCTATAAGCGCCTCAGCGGTCCCTGTTTTCTTTCTTTTTTACGTTGTGTAATGCCTGAACCAGTGTGGGCACATGGGTAGTGCAGTGGTTTTCAAAGTAGGGTGCCTGTGAACAGCAGCCTCAGAATTACCTCAGGGCTTGTCAGAAATGCCCATTGTCAGGCCCCACGCCTGACCTACTGAATCAGAAACTCTGCAGAGATGGGGCCCAGCACTTTGTGCTTTAACAAGCCCGCAAGTTGTTTCTGATGAGTGCTGAAGTTTGAGATCCATCGGCCTAGAACAGAGGCTCTAACGTATTTGTTTAAATGAATGTACGAATCTGTAAAATACGTGATTTGAATTAGCATAAGCTGTAAGCCATGGTTTCCCTAGCACCTAGCAGATGCAGGCACATAGTAGGTGCTCAAAAAAATGTTTGTAAAACAAATGAGTGACGATCCCTTCTGGTTCTTTTTATTGTTCTAAGTCTCTTAAGCTTTCCAAACTTCAGTCCTATTACCTGTTCTCTCTCCTAGGATTGATGGGAGGACCAAGAGACAAACGAAACATATGGATCTAATACATAGCAAAATGGTATTGTCACACTGCTGAGTGCTGTGAGAAAGTCTCCTTTAGAACCCCCAGAGATGTCTGGTCTTCTATCCCTGATGTAACCTAGAACTTCTGGCACCTCAAAAGGCAGACACACACCTGCCAGGCTTTGTCCATCCATGGAAAGAGGAAGACAGCTGTTAAAGCACGTTGATAGCCTTGACAAAGAAGGAGCAGTAGTTATGAGCCCACCCTGGCACAGGGTAGATGCTCAATAAATGTCTGATAAATAAATGACCCTTGTCCAGGAGAACATAGTAGTTAACTGCATGGGTTTAAGGCAGTCAGATCTGACCTGTTTTTCTCTCCCTTGTCTAATTGCTTTGTCTGAAAACACCAGGATGATGTTGATTTGTAAGAGCGACAGTAGGTGTCCTTGTCTTTTTCTCTAAGGTTTTACCATTAAGTGTAATATTTGCTGTAAAATAGTCATTCCTGTGCATTCTCATTTATCTATCAGGTTTCTAAAAATCATAAGTGAGTGTTGAATTTTTCAAGTGTTTTTCCTGTATCTATGGAGATGGTCACATGGGTTTTTCCTTTTATTTGTTAACGTGGGGGATTGCATAGGTTGTTTTCTTTCCATTTCTGAGGGCAGGAATTTGTGTTATGCACTGGTGTCACAACAGAACCAGCACTTAACAGGCACTCGAATATTTGTTGAATGAATAAATGAGGAAGATTCCTGGGCAAACCTCCAAAAAAATAGCATTTCTATTTCACATTCTGTGCATGAACAAAACTTGGAGTTTTGCAGCCAATATGCTGATAACATGCTTGTATTCCTGGGATTAATCCAACTTGGATGTGATTTATTTTTATTTCACAAGGCTATATTTCATTGGCTAATTTTTATTTAGAATTTGTGCCTCTACATTTAAGAGAATTACTCTGTAATTTTATTTCCTTGTATTGTCTTTGTCTGCTTTGGGGATCAAGGTTATTCTAGCCGCATAAAATAAGTGAAGGGGCTTTCCTTGTTTCCTATTCTCTGAAAAATGTATAAATTCAATTGTTCTAATAAAGCTTGCCTGTAAATCCATCTGGCTCTGGCATCATTTGGAGTCAGAAACTCTTGAATGCCAATTCAAGTTAGTTAACAATTTCTATTGCACACCTCCATTTCTTTTTGCACAACTATGAATATCCTAAAAACTGCTGAATTATATACTTTAAGCAGGTGAATTATATGGTATATGAATTATATCTCAATAAAGCTATTATTTTACAAATGGACAGAGGGATCTTATTGGGGCACAAAAAATGTTCTGAAACTGATTTATGGTAATGGTTACTTGACAAAATTTTTAGAAATCATTGCATTGTACACCTAAAATTGGTGAATTTTCTATTATGTAAGATATACCTCAATAATTCTTTTTAAAGATTTTATTGGGGAATTGGGGAAGGGAAACAGTGTAGGGGAGTTGGGGAAGGGGAACAGCCAAGTTGTTGTCCTTCAATCTTAGTTGTGGAGGGAGCAGCTAGCTCAACTCCAAGTCCAGTTGCCATCCGGCTACCCGTTGGCAGCTCGAGGCCACTCCGCTCAAGGTGCCGTGTTCAATCTTAGTTGCGGGTGGGCATAGCCCACCATCCCAGGCAGGAGTCCAACTGGCAACCTTGTTGTTAGGAGCACGTGCTCTCACCAGCTGAGCCATCCTGCCAATGGCAGCTCAGCTCAGGCGCAGTTCACTGGCCCATATGGGAATCGAACTGGTGACCCTGTTGCTCAGAGCTGGCGCGCTTAACCAACTGAGCCACTTGGCTGGCCCAATAAAATTTTTTTTTAAAGTTCCCAGATAATACAGCCAATGAGAGGCAGAGCTGAAAATGTATGTGAAAGGGACAATTTTTTAGAAAAATAATAAATTTACCCAAAAGTCCTTAGGATTTTCTATACACAAGATCATGTTATCTACAAATAGAGCTAGTTTTTATTCCTTCCAATCTGGATGCCTTTTATTTCATTTTCTTGCCTAATTGCCCTGGCTAGAACCTCCAGTACAAAGCTGAACAGAAATTGAAGGAGTAGACATCCTTGTTTTGTTTCTGGGTGGGAAAGCATTTGGTATTTCATAAGTATGATGCTAGCAGTGGGTTTTCACAGATGCTCTTTAGCAGACTGAGAAAGTTCCCTCCTTTTTTTTTTTTAAATCATGAAGGGGTGTTTAATTTTGTTAAATGTTTTTTCTGCATCTATTGAGATGATCATGTGGTTTTCGTCCTTTATTCTACTGATATGATGTATTACATTAATTGATTTTCAGATTCTAAGCCAACCTTGCATTCCTGAGATAAATTCCCTGGTGTCTAATCCTTTTTGTTGCTGGATTTGGTTTGCTAGTATTTTGTTGAGAATTTTTGCATATCTATTCAGAAGAGCCCTCATGCCCAATTATTTAATCTCATTCCTACCTCTAATCTCAGGTAACCACTAATTCACTTTTTGTCTCTAGATTTGCCTGTTTGGACATTTCATACAAACGGAATCAACAATATGTGATCTTTTGGGACTAGCTTCTTTCATTTAGCATATTGTTTTTGAGGATCCACATTGTATCAGTGGATCCTCATTGTATACTTTTTATGGCTGAGTAATATTCCATTGTATGGAGCTAACATTTTGTCTCTGTTCACCAGTTGATGCATATTTAGATGTTTCCAGTTTGGGGCTATTATGAGTAATGATGCTATGACCATTTATGTGCAAGTCTTGTCTTTGCATGGACATGTTTTCATTTTTAAGTAGACACCTAGGAAGAGAATTACTGGGTCCTACAGTTCTACGTTTATCTTTTTTGAGGAATTGCCTGTTTTCCAAAATGGCTGTACCATTTTACACTCCCACCAGCGAAGTGTGAGGGTTACCTGGGAACTTATTTAAATTGAGGGTTTCTACATCTCTAAAGTGGTGATAATAACACTAACTTCCTAAAATGAGCATTAAATGAGATTATGATGTGTAAAGGGCTTAGCACAGCACTGGGTCCAGAAAGAGTAAAAGCTTAATAAATTACATTTTTTATGTTCCCTTATTTATACTAATGTCCCAAACCTCCGACCTTGCTTTGCTTACCTGGATGAGATTGTCTTCATGCTTCCTATGTAAACTGACTTTTTAGTGTCAAGTTCCAGATCCTTCTCATTAGTCAGTTAGTCCTCTGTGGTCTAATAGAACCCCCAGACCTTGTCCCCTCATTCCACTGCCCTCAAGGTCTGTGTCAACCTCATTGGTTCAGGGAGCTTTTCTAGGGCTCCAAATTGGCAGGGTTGGGGCAGTAAGCAGCGCTCCATATACCTTCCCTTGTGTGTTGGATCACAGGACAGAAGGTTTTGACTACTCTGCTTGAAAGGGAGGACTTCTGTCCCCCATGTTCCCTAAGTCCAGGTTACTCCTGTTTATCCTTTAAGACATAGTTTGGACATCACCTCCTCCAGGAAGTCTTCCCTAATGACCACTCCCCCCTAACTCCTATAATGTATATTACTGCAACTATGACATCGTTTGTAATTATTATTTTTATGTGTCTGTCTTGTGAGCATCCTTAGGATGGGGACTATTATTCATTTCCATCAGAAAACTGACAAAAAATCCCATGTGGCTCTGGGTGATGGAAAGGAGTGACCAGTGAGGCTGAAAAGGGAGGGTAAGCCAGGTGTAAGGCTGTACATGGACTTTCATGCCAAGCGAAGGGGAAACTTCATCCTAAGGGCAGAGAGGAACCATCCTTTAAGTAGGGGAGCAACATAATTAGAACTGCATTTTAGAAGGATCTCTCTGGGGTAGTGGAGGGCATGGGTTCCCAAACTTCAGCTGCATTAGAATCATCTGAAGGGCTTATTAAGACAGATTCTGGGTCCTAGCCTCTGAGTTTCTTCTTCAGAAGGTTTGGGGTGAAGCCTAAGAATATGCATTTCTCAGAATTACCAGGTAACGTTGAAGACACACTTTGAAAACCACTGATAGAGGATGGATGGAGAGGACTGGGTAGCAGCAAGAATATTAAGGAAGCCATTGAAACAGCCCAGGTGAGAGGTGATGGAGGCAGAGCAGGGCAGGTGCTCACTTTTCAGATCTGTGTGCTGCCAATTTTTTGGTGTCTTAATGGTGAGGTTTCAGGCATGGTAATAGGCCAGTGAGGGAATGACAGATTGTTTCTGGGGAGAAATCAGCCACTTGGTCAGGAGTCCCCACGCCTGACCTGGGAGGACCAGACCCACTTGGTAACGACATTCAGAAAGCACAACGGAGACAAGTTGTTTAATGCCGAATTGTCACAACACAAGGAGGTTTACATGGTGCTCATCAAGGTAGGACCCAAGGCGAAACCAGGCCAGAGATAAGTGACTTGTATAGAGTCCCAGCACCGGGGCCAGGTTTCTCTCAGGCTCTTTCACCCTCAAGACACATGTGCCACATATAAAGCTTCTTCACTGACCCAGGAGCCAGCAGGCTGGCAGGGCTTCTGGCCACTGAGGGTTCTCGTGGAAGAATAGAGTCCCAGGATGAGGTGGAAACCTCGGGATGCAATGACAAGAACCAGAAAGTTGCTTACAAATAACCCCAAAAGGCTTTCACTCCAAATGCATTAAGCCACACAATGCTCGGAGGCGGGGACATCCAAACTCTTTCACTAAAAACTCTAAACACTGTGCAGAGCTGATGCTAAGAACACTTGGGGAGAGAAAATAAAGCCAAAATCATCCTAGAGCCAGTTTTACAAGCTTCACAATTGCCCCCGTCTTCTCTGCAGCCATACTAGTCAGGCTAGCATTGCAGAAGTGAAGAGACACCACCCTGGTCTAGCTAACACTTTCAACAGGAAGAAACACGGGAGTATGTCCCTGGTTTTAAGCAATCTCTTAGAATCTCCATCACTATTCAACAATTTAATGCTACTAGGTTCCCTGGAGCCCCTGATGCCCCTGGGGACACAGCTAACTTGGGGCTGCTGGTGGAGCTGGGGAATTTCCTAACAGAAATAATGTGCCTCAGAAAGAAACTGGCTTTTCTTCTGCCCTAGTTTTAAAGTTTACCTGGCCTCTAGAGGAAATATCCATCAAAATGCCTTCTTAAAGCACTTGATGAAACTTGGCAGATTTCAAGTGTCACTGGCAAGAAAGAGGCTCAAACTTGTTTTCTACCCCTAGCCTGAGGCTTTGCCTTAGTGGTCCAGCCCCTGGGCCAGGCAGAGTGTGGGGTGGACAGCACAGAAGTGGGCAGGGGCAGCTGCTCAAGATACAGGCCACGGGCCCAAGGGGCAGCCCCTTTGTCCAACCCTATGGCTGGGTGTTTGGAGAATGAGCTTGAATTCTGGCCAGAATTCACCATTAAACTCATTCCCAGTGGGTCCTACAGGCCTCTTCTCTTCTCTCATTTAATTCTAGAAGAACGCTCTAGACAGAGTCCAAGGCCTGGAAATTCAACACCTCTGTCCTCAGAGATGGTGAGTGGCTAAATGGTAGTCCAGCAGAGACCTTGGAACAGCAACGCCCCACATGCCCCAAACCAGATCCCATGCAGCACCCCCTTCCCCCACCCAAGGGCCAAGGTGGTCCCTTGGTCCTGGGCCCGCTGGGCTTCAAAACAGGCTCTTGGTGAGAGCCCTGTGGAACTGTGGAGAAGGGGAGACCAAAGGCATTTCTGTAAATCATACAAAATTAGCCCTGTTTACAGGGCTGGGCACCTGTGACCTGCTGAGCATTCCTGAGAGGCCACTAACTCGGAGGCCCAGGAAGTTGAGCAAATGACAAGGCACGACTGACCCCAGCTGGACATTAGCTTACATCGGAACCCCACCCTCAAAGAAGCCCACCTCCCAAACTTCAGATGCCAATAGGTCAGCTCAAGAGCAATCCCACAGGGCCAAATTCATGTTTTAAAACAACTTGTTGCTACAAACTTTAAAAAAAAAAAAAAAAGTGCTGCCTAGCTGAGCCCCTGAACCTAGCTCCCTGAGGGCAGGTGGTGGGCTTCTCAGACCACCACCCATGGCTGCCTCTCTCCAGAAGGCACAAGCTTGGTTCAGCCCAGAGCACCTTCACCCAGGTTGGATGGGAGAAAGCTGACCCCCCCACACCCAGCTGGGCTACAAGGACAATACGGGATAGTCAACCTCTGGGCGGTGCGGTGAGGCTAAAAGAATTTCTCGGGACCCCAAACCTAAAGAGGTAATATAAGCCCATCTCCCCATTAGCTGCCAAAGTCTGGTCTGCGATAAAGACGGCTCTCTGTCACCCCTTCAGCATTCCTGTGACAAAAGGAGTCAACATGCCATCAAGTCCTGGTCACCTCTGTCCCTGGGGATCTGTGTGAGAGCTGAGAGGGAAGGGGAAGTCCTTAAAGAATCACCCCTTTCCACAAAGGAGGCAAAAAAAAAAAAATTCCAGGGGGAATGATGCCAGCAGCTACCAGAGGAAGTGCGTTCCAACAGTTGTCTTAATCTCACCCTTCTCTGTGGTGCAGCTGCCTCTGCCTCCCAGGTCCTCAGAGTAAATCAGCCTGTCCCAGCGAGAGGCAAAAACGGAGGAAAGGTGGCTGCGGCAGCCATTGCAGCCACTGCCACATGTGTTTCCTCAGAGCTCTTCCCCTGGAGGATCATTTTTTACATTCTAAGGTAGCGAGATAAGGAATTCCACAGAGAAGGGGTCTCCTTATCTGGCGGCTCCTGTTTCCTCAGGAGCCTCAATGCCGCCTTTGCTGGGGTGGCTCCCTGGAACCATCTCCGGGACAGAAGAGACCAGGAACTCAAGGCTGGTGCCTCAGCTGCCACGTACTAGAATTAGGAGGCCTAAGTGCGACAAGTGTTCCAGACTGGACAGCCCCTCAGAGACCCAGCCCCCAGCACTGTGGAGAAATCAGGGAGTTGGCCTGGGTCCCTGGAACCCCAGGGCTGTCCTTGGACAACAGACGGTGCTGGGCCTGTCTGAGGAGAAGTCTTACTAGAAACCAGAACAATCTCCCTGCTAAAACTCAGGGAAGACACACAAACAAAACTCAAGCTGAAATAAATACAAAGGCATTAAGTGCTTCTCAATAAACTGAGGGTCCTAATTACCCCCTCAAAAGGTAGTGGCAGGGCCTTTCCCTGAACCTGGTCACCTTGCCTGTGGCCCTTCGCATGAGAGGTCAGAGGTCAAAAGGCTGAATGGGCCTTCCCGGGCCCAGCTGCCATTAGGAAGGACAGGACCAAACCCTGATATGTTCCTCACCTGTATCCTCCACGAACCCCCTAGACAGCTTCAGCAGGCGATTGGGTAGGAGAGGAGAGGAGACCTCCCCCTCCCCATACCCTGAGGGCAGCATGTTGTGTGCAAAGTCCCTGTGCAGACAGAGGGCCTGTCAGTCTGTCTGTGAGGAGGTAGAGACAGGGACAGGGCTGCTATGGGGGTAGGCAGAGTCACTCAATCAGCAGGTCCCCAAAGTCATAGGAGTCAAAGAGGTCACTAATGCCCTCACCCCCATCTAGGCCCCACAGGTAGTCATCCTGGTCCAAGGGCGGAGAGAAGCTGATCAGAGGGGAGCTGCCCGGCAGGGTTGGAGACAAGAACTGGTCTTCAGTCTGCTGCAGAAGTGGGTATGACAGCTCCAGCATGCTGTCAGTGGCCTCCAGAGGAACAAGGGATGGCGCTGGTGACAGGACCTGCTGGGAAGTCAGCGCTGGCGCTGGAGACAAATAGACAAGGGTTATGCCTGGCCCTGGTGGCCAAAAGTCTCTGGTCAGACCTCAGAGCACGAGAACAGCCTTGCTGGGTGACTGTGCACCCTTCTCTTCTCTCTCCCATCCTGCCCCACACCTAATGGCACAGGGACACACTCCGTTTCCTGGCACCAGCTCTAGCAACCACCCTCATTCTCCCACACTCTCTCCCCTCTCCTCTGACAGTGGGTGGGGTCTCCTGCTCTCAAAACCTACTCTCCACTTCTCCACTCAACCCTACCCCTTTTCACCATCAAGGCCTCTGCCCCTGAAATCATTCTTTTTTTATTGCATCAATTTCTCTCACTCTGCTAGACCATTCCCATCGACACACATACTCTAATAACTCCTGTCTTTCCCTGATCTCATGACGCTCTGATTACCAGCCCATTTTACAGCTCCCTTTCATAGTGAAATTTCTCAAGGGTTCCCTGTGCTGTCTACTTCCCTGACACTATTCACTCTTCAGCCCACTCCACCCTGGGGTCTGTCCCCACCATGCCACTGAACCAATGCCAACTTCTAACCCTGAAGGCCCCGGGCCTCTATCCTCAGATTCTTCTCTCCTCTGGCTGCACTCCTCCCCAGGTGCTCTCAGCTGGTCCCATGGCTTTAAATCCCTCTCTAGACCTACTGTTGTCAAGAGGACACTCTGACATGAACCTGGCCCCTGAGCTCTGGGTACCTGCAACATGTCTACTTGGATATCTAAGCTACATTAGAACTTAGCATGTCAAAACCAAACTTCTGGTCTTCCCCTAGACCTATGTCCCCTCGTCTTCCCCCATCACAACGAATGCATCACCACCCACTCAGTTGCCTAGGCCAAAAGGCCCAGGCGTCACCTGTAATCCTGCCACTTGCCCTGCATCCAATCCAGCCGCAAGTTTGGTCATCTCCACAATCAAATGAACTCTCTAAGCTGCCCATTGCTCTTCCGCTCCACTGCTGTGGTCCTGGTCCTAGCCCCCTCCTCTCTCACCTAGACCACTGCAGGAGCCTCCTGACCAGTCACCTTGCTTCCACCTTGCCCCTTGCCATCTGTGCTCTGACGTCTGACAGAAAAAGGGCCTAGAATAAAATCCAAGTTCCGATCCAGGCTGAGAAGGCCCTGCATGATTTGGCCCCGGCCTACCTTTCTCCTCCCTCTCCCAACTCCCTCCCACAGCTTACACTCAACCTCTCTAGCGACACTGGCCATCAGCTATTCTTCAGTACAGAAAGTTCATCTCCACAGAGAAGTAAAAAGGTGATTTCCTACACAGGGACGTGGCATAGGGCACTGGAAATCCCCTGCCAAATATATCCCGACGCCCAGAATCTCACCGTTTGAGTCATTCCTTAGAGCCCAACCAAGCCTTGCTTTGAAAATGCAGTTGCGCTGGGTATGCCAGACTGCCTGATCAACCTCTTCCTAGCTGTGCAACTGCGGGCAAGGGACTTGATGCTTATGAGGCTCCGTTTCCTCACCTCTGCAATGGGCAGGATTATACTGACCTCACAGGGTTGTTGAGAGGATTAAATGGTAAAGACAGGTAAAGAACAGCTGATCTGCAGAAACCCCGCATGGGATCTGTGTGCGGCCCTTGTCAATAATAATAATGGCTCCCATCCCCCAAGGGCTTACCAGGCCCAGCTCTGTTCTCAAGGAGAGGCATGCTTCACCTCCTCTGACACTCGGGAGGCAAAGCTGTCACCCCTATTTACAGATGGGGAAACTGATGCTCAACGTATTTGAATGAGTAAAAAAAACCTGAATATTTGTTTAGCACATTGCAGAGGCCTGCAGGTAGTGTAGTAAGAAGCCTGGCTTGGGAGTGAGGACATGGGCTGAGACCCCAACCCCACCTCACCAGCTGTAGGACCCTGTGCCTCAGTTTTCTCAAAAGGAAAACTAAAGATCCACCTGAGTGGCTGGAACTAGTAAGTGGGGTCACACACATGAAGGCCTCTGCTGCAGGACGGACCTTGCTCTCTCTTGGCGTTTATCACATCCAGAAGAGAACTGCTAATATCTGCTAATTGCTCATTGTAATATCTGTGCCTTCATTGCAGTCTGAATGGCTCGTATTCACTTCCATATCTCCAAAGCCACACATACTTGAAGTGGTCCTCGGTTCACATAAGCTTTTTAAAAAATCACATCTCCTGTAACCCACTCAGTCATCCTGAGGGAGTTTGAAGTGTCCCCATTTTAGAGATGTGGAAACAGAGGCCCAGAGGGGTTAAAGCGACTCGCCCACTGTTGCCAAGTCATAGGAGGCGAGGTGCGGACTCAAACCCACATCTCCCAATTTCAACTCCTGTGCCATCAGCCACATGATCTCAGAATGTCAGAGCCTGGAGGGATGTTAGAGTCGAATCTTGTTCAAACCCCTTCCATTACAGATAAGGGAAACTGAGGCCCCAAAGGGTTAGCAATTCCCCTGGTGATGCAAGAGCTGGGCCAGAACTTGGGCCCCAAAACTATAGGGGCCTCTTCTTTGGGCGTGGCCCCTGGCGCTCAGACCTCAAAATGACCCTGCTTCAGGCCAGAGCATGGAGCGTGTGCACGTGCATGTGTGTACACCTTCTGGAAAGCTTCCTCCTGCTCCCTTCAACAGGGACAACACTAAAAGGCCACGTGGCAAGGGTGGAGAGGGGCAGCTGTGGCACGAACCTTGGCACACAGCTGGCTTCTGGGCTGGCCCCACCACCAACTGCTCTGTCAGCCTCTATAGTCCTTTCAGGCCTCAGACTCTTAATCTGTACAACTGAGGTAAGAACCTTGCCCTTGCTTACATTGTAGGGTCCCCACCTCCGCCCAAGGTCTCCGAGGACAAAGTGAAAGTGGTTCTAACTTTGGAGAGCTGTGCACATGTTGACAGTAGAATGAGAAGGCAGATGCAGCAGGAGGAGGGAGAACAGGGTGGAACACAGGTCTGGAGTGGGAGATAGGCACTGGGAGGTGCCCAGAGAGACAGATGGCTGGTGCCGGGAGAAGCCCTGGTCCCCAGACCAGGCCAGGGCACAGGAGAGATCGCTAAAGAAGACTGGCAAGTCTGGGCTCTTGGCTAAGCCCTACCACCCACTTGCTGTGTGACCCTAGGAAAGTCACTGCCCTCTGAGCTTCAACTTTATTTATGTAAAATGAAGGGTTGAGTTGGATCAGGGGTCCGCAAACTTCTGTATTTTAGGCTTTGCAGGACACTTAGGGTCTCTGTCACCCAGTCATGTTCTTTTCTTTTTCCCCTACAACTCTTTAATAATATGAAAACCATTCTTAGTTCACGAACCATATAAAAACAGGCCACAATTGATCTTCAGGCAATCGCTTGTCACCCCTTGGGTTAAAGAAATGGAATCCAGGGCCGGCCGAGTGGCGCGATGGTTAAGAACTCGCTTGGGATGCCAGAGGGCCCCGGTTCGGATCCCACATATGAGGGCCAGTGACACTG